CTTTGGTAGATTCATTAAGTTACCGATATTGCTTATTGCTTTTATTATTTATCTAATTACAGCAATATCACTCTGCCCGATTAGGATTGATCTAGATCAGCCTTATATCTTGTTTAGCCCATCGTTTGTTAATCTGAAACTGATCTAATCTACACATTAAACGATGAGTTACGTTTTATCGGTTATTCTACGTCAATCTTGATCGTGCATAGCGTGCGGTTAAAGCATGTTGCGTCTTGAGTAGATTTATTAGCTAATAAAAACCGTTCCATGGCCCGTTATCACGGCCTGTGTGATTCTGCCTCATACCCCACTGTTAGCACCGTGGAGTGGGGATCATTATTTGGTAGATCTATTCCTGATAAGGCATGACTTTAACTGTGCGCTATGCCTGAATCGGCTGTTTTAGCCGATATCGAGTGCTTCCATGAACAATTTGCATCACGAGACCGTTGAAGTAAAGATAGGTTGAAAGATGTGTTAGCCCCATGATCTTATTATTGTACTACGGCCTACATGATTCTGCCTCATGCCCCACTGATATTAGTAATGAGTTAGGGTCGTCGAGTCTATTGTTATTTCTACGGCCTACATGATTTTGCCTCATGCCCCACTGGTCATAGCGATAGATGAGATCTAACATGTTCATTAGATTTACTTTTATTAAACAGTTAAGTGATGTTGAATTGTTTCTTTATATAAAAAGGGGTTCGGTTACGTGTAATCATTGGCTTGGCATAAACAATCATTGTTGACATCTTATTGCCATTGATAAATATTTGTTCAAATAACGACATTTACCCTGAATGATAACCGATTCTTCTTATACAACCCAATGAGCTTTGACCGATTTATTCTCATGAATATGCTAGAATCAACTATTTAGTCGATCTCCTTTCATATCGGCTCTCAGAGCCGCACATTCGAGACTGTCTAGCAACACCGGCAAGTTTCGCCCTTAATTACTAATGAATTTTCTCTCATTGTCAATTACAGGGTCAAATTGACTCGCACGTCTCAGGAGGAGTGCACAGGATCGACCATCCCTGCGCTGAAGCTAGGCGGATCTACAGCTCCATCGAGTAGACCCTTCTGGCTTGCTATATGTGTCCTCGGCACGGGACGAAAATTCTGTGTCGATAAAAACCAAGTTTGAAATGAATTACTCTGTATCATGAACCAATGCCATCCTATATGCCAATGTTTCATAAGCAAACCACTTTTAGTGGTTGATAATGTCAACTTGCAACAAGTTTAACTTTGAAAAGATAACTGCTCAATAGCGTGTGAAGAAGCTTGAAAAAGGTTCAAACCGAACTTGATGTATTTGATGGATGATATTGACAATTGAAAGCTCATGAAAGTATTCTAGCCCAAGCGAAAGAAATAAATGTCAAATATATTGTTGCTTGATGAGTTAGCAAAAACTGAAAGCATCTAGGCCATGAAGATGATTGATCCAAGTGAATTATCATGAATGTATATATTGGTCTTCACTTAGAATTATATATTAGATCATCTCTTCACATCAAACAGTGGTATGAAAAATGGTTGTGCATTTGCATAGCATACCTTACTAGTATGTCTATAGGAGCATGTTGTTTATTTTTTGTTCATACCCTTGTTCATATTTGTCTTATTTTTTTTGTTGAAATATTGCCCATTTGTTGGTTGTTGGTTGATCAAATTGGCAATATTGAGACTTTGTCCATAAGCAATGTCATCACAAGAATGAGAATTATGAGAATAAGAGAATTAGAATGGATTTCATGTGAAATCAATTTTGAAAAAAGTATTTGGACAGTTTGAGAAAGTGCTAAATTGGTTTGGAGATTATTGGAAAGAAATGCACAAAGGGACAACAAGCACACTGCAAAAATGTTAGCCGCGGACTGTCTGCCACTTGGATTATAGACTACCTATAGTACAATTAATAGTCGCCAGTAGATTTTATGCAGAAAATTTGGAGGAAAAAATCAACGGCGGACAACCAGGCACGGTCGAAGGGTTTTCTCCCCATACCCCTTTGTGAAAGCCCAAGCTCTCCCCATCTTTCTCACCTTGAAAGAAGAAGAAGGATGAAGGGAGGGGAGCAAGGGTCTGGAGGCTTCCCCAAACACTCCATGAAGTTTCTCGAACACTCTACGAGCTCCTCCACCATGTCCTCTCGGTATTTCAAAGTTTTTCCTTCATTTTTGGATGGATTTAGAGTTTGAATGGCATTTAGGGTTTGATTCCGGATCTACTTTTGAGCCATGTATTCATGAAACAAAGTGGGGGCATTTGTTGATACTGATGAGAGGAAGCTATGACAAAAATTTAGTTGGAAATCACTTGTTGAATCAAAAGATTTTTGGGTTGCAAGATTGAACTACACTGTTGAAATGTCCTTGTGTGGTTTTGGTAAGAGTGACAACCTAGGTGGACTAATTGTGTTTATATGAGATACACATGTGATTAGTCCATAGGTACATGTGTGTGAGCAACATATGCCATGAAGATGGAAATGGCTCGGAGATGTTGCAAAGCTCACACATGTGATGATGAAGGAGCTCATTTCACATGAGACATGACATTGAGTCATGTGATCAAGGTGGAGAAGATCAAGACATGACTTGGCTTGATGGACCGGTTGCAAGCGTGAAGGGCAAGTTGGAGGCTTTGGAGCGATGGACCGCGTGTCGGTGAAGCTTGAGCAAGACTTGGCGCCGATGGACGAAGGCAACGGTGAAAAGCAAGTGAAGTCAAGATCGATGAACCAATACGGTCACGTGATGATATGAAGTGGATCATATCATTTGGTGATTGGTTGGTGCATGTGTTGCATCAACAATGGAGGAGATGGAATGGAATGCGCAATGCAAAGGTATAGCCTAGGTCATTTCATTTCACTGGTCATAGGTGTGTAGAGAAGTTGATGACCGGGTTTAGGATAGATGGCCGTACTATCAAGAGGGGCAAACTTGTTTGCATATCGGTCATCTAGTGCCACTCGAGTGATCTAACTTTACATTGTTGCTAGGATCGAGTGGCGCGGCAAGTTGAGTGGTTAACTCCTTAAAAATGTTTGTGAAAAGCTAACACACGTGCACAAGGTGTTGTACACTTGGTGGTGTTGACACATTTGCAAAGGAGAAGAAGTTGGTGAAGAAAAGGAGTTGAATGCGCTGGTCACGGGGTGATCAGATGCATCCGACATGAGGACCGAACACGTCCAGTATCTGACCCAGGTGGCAGTATTCCCGATGTGACTGGACGCGTTCGATATCGATACCAAACACGTCCGGTATTCTGGCCAGGCGCAGGCAGAGTTGCCGTGGTGACTGGACTCTGGCTCGTAGCAGTGACCGGACGCTAAGCAATCACTGTTTAGCATCAGGTCGTGGTGACATTGGGCGCGGGTGTTGGTCTAGAGAGGACCGGACGTAGGGGCGCGTCTGGTCAGCCACACCGGATGTGTCCGGTCGCAGTTGAGCAGCTTTGGGAGCGCTCTAGATTCGACCGGACGTTGCCCCTCCTATGTCCGGTCAGCCACACCGGACGCGTTCGGTCGTAGTTGAGCGGCTCTAGGAGCTCTCTAGACTCGACCGGACGCTGCCCCTCCTACGTCCGGTCGGCCACACCGGGCGCGTCCGATCGTAGTTGGGAGGCAACGGCTATTTCGTTTGAATGGGACACATGGCGTTCAAGCAGTGACTGGACGCAGCGACCGGACGCGTCTGGTGCACACAACCTGTGCGTCCGGTCGTCCTGAGTTTTGCCCAGTGAAGGGGTAATGGCCATTTCAGCCCGTAGGGCTATAAATAGAAGTGTTGGTCGGCCTTTGGCCGCAAGCTTAGTAGAGCTGAGCACACTAGAGCCTTGGTGGCTTATGTGGTAGTGCTTGGGAGCCCTCTAACTCACTTGAGCTTGATAGTGTTCATCCGATCGAGTGAGTGAGCGATTCTAGTGCGATTGCTTTGTGAGGTTGCATCAAGTGGCACTAGGTGATCGAGTTGCAAGCTGGTGGTGCTTGTTACTCTTAGAGGTTGCCACCTCCTAGATGGCTTGGTGGTGGTCTCCGTCGAAGCCCGCAAGAAGCTTGTGCGGTGCTCCGGAGAAGAGCTTTGTGAGGGGCATTGTGCTCGCCCCGTGGGAGCCGCGAAGAGCAACTCTAGTAGAGCGAGACACGAAGGGCGACAAGTGGTCTAGCCAGGTCAAGTGCTAGAACTTGTGGTAAGCACTCCACGTGGGAGAGTGTGACTTGCGGGTCACCACTAGCAAGAGGACTGGCGGCAACCTTGGAGCTTGTCTCAACGGGGACATAGCGTGTTGGCAAGCACGTGAACCTCGGGAGAAAAATCACCGTGTCAACATTGTTCTTCCCGTTGGTTTGGAATCCCCTTACACAAGCTTGTAATTACTTTCATATACATTGTGCTTGTGTAGTTGCTCTTGTAATTAGTTAGCTTGTGTAGCTCACTAGTACCTTCTTGTTTGTGTAGCATAGAAATAACTCCCTTGCGTGACTAATTTAGTTTGTGTAACCTTGTTAGTCACATTGCTTAGTTTAAGTAGCTAAGTATTTGCGCTCTCTAATTTAATATTGGTTGCCTTGTTATTGAGCATTGCTAGTGAGCTTAGGAGCTTTATGTTTTTGCTTACTAGAATTGTGTAAGAGCTCCCCGGTGTGCAAAATACTAGTGGCATAGGTATGAGTGACCTTGCTCCTAGAATTGGATAGGTGAGTCCTAGCCACCTTTGTTGCCTAATTAGGATCTTTATAAGGTGCTTGTGAACTTCTATAGATGGGTGTAGTCTTGGCTAGACCGATTGTTTTAATTCCGCATTTGTTTCGGTTAGCCGGTGCGATTAAATTAGAAAGGACTATTCACCCCCCTCTAGTCCGCCATCTCGACCTTACAACTGTTGTTATTCTTGCGTGAACAATAACTACGGATTATCTGCGCCCACAACGATGGACTATCCACGGGCACTATTTCTGCACAACAACGGTAGCTATGGCCGATCTACCTTTGCAAATATCTTTTATGATTATATTAGCACAAGTAGTAGCTGATCTCTCATGCAGGTCACATAAACATTGTCATATCTTGATTGAAATGATTGTTGGCTATGGAAAGTTCTCTATTCATCAAAATGGCACATGGTTATTAATTCCCATACAAATTCCTTGCAACAAGCTGTGATTTCTTGATCTTAATATGGAAGTGGAACATCACAGTGATAGTTATTCTTGGGTGTTCATGCATGTCACTTATACATTTTATATATTTCTGAATTGACAGTGGCAAAGGTTTGGCCAAGAAAATATTCACCTCTAAGAAAAAGAAGGGAAGCACATCCAAGAGAAGGAGAACTGGTGATGAGGAGGAGGATTGGAACCCAAATCCAAATGCGGATGTGGAAGAAGATGATGAAGGTGATGATGAGGAGATGGATGTATCTGGATACACTAGGGCTATCAGGCCATGGAACTTTGACTCTTGTGAGACATTGAGAAGGCCATATCAGTATGCATTGAACAATGATGCTGACTTGCCATACTTCTATACCAAGGTACAAGAAGATGCATATTTTGGGTACATTCATAGTGGCACCATTTGTAAATATCAATACATCAATACGAGCTATATGATGGAAAATAAGAACACTTTTGGTTTGGTTGCTAATTTGCATGCTATGGGGCTATATGATTTTCTTGGGCACAAGCCCAACTAGAATGACATGATTGTTAGGCAATTCTATGCTACCATGGAAATTGACACTTTGAATGAAAAAATTGAGTGGATGACTGGCAAGAGAAGGTATTCTGCTACCTTTGATGAGTTTGCTATAGCAAATGAGTTAGACAATGGTTTCTTTGCAAACTCTATTGATCTTGATGAGGAAGACCCATTGCCCATAGAGCAAAGAAGGCAGTTTTATGAGCCTAAGCGCACTAAGATACAATTCAGAATTGGTGGCCTAAAAGGGTTGAGACATCATCTAGGAGTGATCAACAAAATTGCTAGAGTGACGTTCATGCCAGAAGGAGGAGCCAGAGGTGTAATCAGGGATGAGTATTAGAATGTCATACATTATATCATGTTTAGCAAGAAGTTTGATGTGGTAAAATTCATGATGAATCAGCTAGTAGTTCTAAAGCATGACAAGAAAACCAAGCTTTACTTTGCTCCTTATATCATGTCCCTCATACTTCAGAAGACCAAATTCAAAGGGCAATGTAGAGTTCGGCATGAGCGCATCAGGCCTCTCAATAATGACAAGGAGTTTATGACTAGAGAGATGACTCCTTTTCCTAATCCATCTGAGAGAGAACAAAGGGGGCAAGATGCAGGTCAAGAAGGTCACATGGAAACTGATGAAATTTAAGAATCCTCCGAGCCACAGCCACAACCACAGATACATGGATAGGTTCCACCTACAGGATACTTTGGCCTATTTTTCCAAAACATGTAGAATACCTAGAGCAACACCTTCACTCAGTTTGGTGAGAGCTTTCGGCAGCAGATGAATCAGGGATTCCATACTATGGGGCAACAGTGGTAGGTTCACATGGACACTAGCTTTCAGGAGTTTGGGCAGCATCTCCACAACACCATATATCAGCCCATCATGTCTAGCCTTTAGAGTGTCCAGCATGGGCTGCATAATGATATTGATGCTCTTAGTTCACAGGTTGGCACCTTGTCCACACAAGAGCAGTACCAGCAGCTTTATGATAGGCAGGTTCACCTTGAGCAGCTCTTTGATGTGTTGAACAACAACTTTAATACATTCAGTGATCATTACAACACAGTCTATCCAAGGCCTATACCTCCTCCAACTCAGTTTCTATATCAGCCCTTCTATCCTCCACAGTTCCATCCTCCACAGTACTACCCTCCACCACCTCCTAGAGATGATGCTGATGATGCATGAGGTTTCTTTTTGGGTAATATGAAGAGAATGGTGAGAGTGAAGAAACATTGAAGATCTTTGGATGGAGGCTTGTTTATGGACATTGCATGTTTTTATTTATGTGTTTTAGACAATACATTGGTGTGCTTGCATTTGGTATTTTAATATCTTTAAATTGTACTTGGTGTGCAAGAACTTAAACCTGTGATGCTTAAATTGATGTATGTGCATGGTACTTTAAGTCTATTATTATTGTTTCACAAATGTTCTTATGAAGTTGTTGGTTCTAGCATACTTGTGGTATTCCGAGGATATTATTTATGTTTATGGGTTCCAAAGGTAAATATCAGATGACTTGTGCACCTCAGTTACCCCGATGTAGGGGAAACTCCGCTTAAATTTCCAAAATTATGCATATATGAATGAATTAAACCCAAATCTTTATGCACATATGTGAGGGAGATTTCGCTATATAGTTGAGTTTTGGGTCATTTATCCATCCTAACCCATGTTCTTCGTGCTATGGATAAATGGTGCAAAACTCATGTATGGAGTTGGCTTGAATTTTCAATTATTCTTAACACCTTAGTGTGGTTGTTATCAATTACCAAAAAGAGGGAGACTAAAAGATCTAGGCCCTTGTTTGGGTTTTGGTAATTAATGACAACGCTTGTGGACTAACCTTTCTATTTGAGTGCGTGATGGAAAGTTGGTTTAGTTCTCAAGAAAGGCTAGGCATTGATATGGACTTGATGGATAGCATGTTGGAAAACTCAAATCAAGCATAGCAAGGAGATGACCAAAGCAAGGCTTGGCTAGGAAGGACCGCGTGCAAGGCAATGGTGAAGCGCAAGCTAGATGCTCAGGCATGATGGACCGTTGAGGCGGTGAAGTGTGAGCAGAGGGCTTGGCACCGATGGACCAAGGCAATGGTGAAGAGCAAGCTAGAGGCTCAAGTCACGACAAATACTTGAGGTGGTGAAGTGTGAGTAGAAAGCTTGGTGCTGATGAACCAAGGCAATGGAGAAGAGCAAGCAAGGCTAAGGTCGATGGACCTGAAGTCTATGTGATGGTTTGAGTGGTCCCAATTACTTATGAAGATCAAGCAAAGGACTCAATGATCATATCAAGTGGCCTGGTGAATATGATCAGACAACGTATTTCCTTATGAGGATCAATTTGAGAGAAATTGGATTTATGTGAGGCAAAGGTATGAAACATAGGGTGTTTCATTTCATTGTCCATAAGGTGTGTAGATAAGTTTAAATGGCCAAAATTAGGATAGATAGTCATACTATTAAAAGGGGCAAACATGCTTTGCATTACGGTTATCTAGTGCCACCTGTGAGCTCTTACATTGTGATACATTTAGTGGTGAGTGGCGATAAGAAAAGTTCATTTTCAAACCTTTGAGAAAAGTTTGCTGAAAGATAACCGACCTTGCGAGTTGAACGGTCATCTTGTGGGAGACCATTTCTTGGTGTTGGATTTCTTTGGAAAGGTTTTGAGCATGTTTGTACTAACTTTGGAAAGCTTCAGAACCCTTCATGGTGGACCCAAGTTAAGGAGGCGCAGCGCTCAACGTGAAGTTTTTTGGGTAACTGCGGACAGTCTAACCTTTAGGCGGTGGACTGTCCACCGGTCAACCTAAGAAAAAGCAATTGATTTTTTGCAATCTATTCGTGGACTGTCCAGGTAACGGCAAACAGTCCACGCCTATAATGGCGGACAGTCCACCGACTAATTTCTACTGGGAAAAGAGTTAATGGACATTCTGTCCAGGCCGTTGTGGTTCAACAACGGACAGTCCGTGCTATGGCTATGGAAGTCCGTAGGTTGGGTTTTGAACCTAACAGCTAGTTTGCTTGAACGGCGGATAGTTCGAAGACTTGTACTATAGACTGTCTGGGAATGCCGTTTCAGCACCCTAACAATATTTTTGGGGCCTCTCTATATAGAGTAGGGTGTCTGGCTCTAGGGGCTTTCTTGGTCTTTCTTAGTGCACATACTTGGTAAGAGCACCTCTCTAGTGTAACACCTCGTTACATGAGCTCTTTTAGCACTAAATATGTAATTATTAACTTGTTAATAATAAATTAGAGTAAGATTAGAGTAGAAAGGGACTCAAAAATAGGATGAAATAAAATAAATTATTAAATAGAACATTATATATATAGCTTTTGAATCTAAATTAAATTCGAGCTTTGTTGAAAATTTTCTTGTGCTTAGATGTTGCTAATTGTCTAAATTAGTAAACCAATAGAGATATATATGGGTATATATATACACTCACGTATTTCGTTTTTGATAAGCATGTTGCTATATTAATTAAAGTAGTGTACAAACTTAATTCTTTCCGAGTGTATCTCTATAGATAAGTATACGTTTAAACATACAATAAATATATGCATGTGTGTATGGATGTTAGTGATAAAGAAATAATGACATATTTATAATTACATAATAATTTATATATTTTGGTAAAATAACGCACGTACACAATGCACTCGTGGACGCCTGTGTGCACGCCTAGCCTCATCGCTGCCTTGCTGTGCGCTGGCCTCGTTGCCAGTCTCGCCTCTGCGGCCGCGCTACCGAAGCCGTTTCTCGGCAGGCTGTCCCGCTGCCGCTACCGCGTCTGTCTCCTCGCCGTGCCCGCCGAGACGAGTACCATCAATACGCATGGCCGCTGTGGCATTGTCGTTGGTGATCGTGGCGCGTTCCTTGCCTTTTGGTCTATCTACCCCATCATGCATCCATGCCGCTTAGCAGTCGTTGCGTAGTGGCTGTCGGTTCCGGCTCTTGGGACGACGGGACACCTCACTGCCGTCCTGACCGCTTGACGATGGTGGTGCGTCCCCGTGCGGAATCAATCACCCGATTTACTCGCGTCGTGTCGCGCTGTCGAGCCGATTGCTTGCTCTTTCTTTTTCTCTGCTTGTCTTTTCTCTGCTAGGTACTGTTGTCGTACTGGACAAATGCAGTAGGCCATGTGCGCATGTCTTCTCGCAGCTTTGCTTGGAAACGCCCTATAGGAAGACCGCTGAGTTCGCTCGTGTGTCCTCACCACCGATGCACCGTGCGTAGAGCCACCCTTCTTCCCCTCCCCTGCTCTCTGGCTCCTCCGCGTGCAGCATCGGCGCCCCAGCTCCTGCTCGCCCTCCCCGCTCGCTCGCTCTCTCGGTCTCTCTGCTTGCCTCCTGCGCCGGTCCGCCCATCGCTAGTTTTTCTTTCCCCCCTCGCGCTTGCGCGCGCAGGATCCATAGCGCCGGTGCTCCCTGCTCCCTACTGCCCCGCGTGAGCACCTGACTAGACTGTGTCGCCATCGCCCGGCTCCTCACATGCGCTCGCGAGCCCATTGTGGCCACGTAGTCCGTCGCCTCTCCCCTTTTGCCTCGCGCGCGCGCACGCGAAGCCCCACGGCCGCTGCTGACCGCTCTGCCCCTAGCTGCATCTCCATCATGGTCCGCGCCCCACGCCCGCGCCGGTGCCGGTGCTATGCCACCGTGCTGCCGCTCCCTGCTGCGGTGCCACCCCATGTCGGTGTCACCCATTCCCCACGGCACCGCCTCGCCTCACCGCGCCTCCCCGAGGACGACGACGCCGGGGGCCGAATCAAGGCCGCATCCTCCTCATCCTCGGCGGCTCGCCACCGCAGGGCGCCATGGCCGCCGCTCCTACTGCGGTCGCGCGTGGTCGCCAGGCCATAACCTGCCTCAGTCCACGCCGTCGAGGTGTGCACGTCTGCGTCCGCCAGGCCGCTGCGCCCTGCCATGGCACGAGCAGCGCCATGTCCTCCGGCGCCGAGGAGCCGCCCTGCCAGCGCCGCAGCCGCCGTGTACCGCGTCGCTCCGCGACAACACCGCCGCTGGCCGGTTCCTTGCCTCTACGTGGCTCTGTTTTAAGGTAGAAAAAGGGCTCAAGTGCAAATAGGATTCTTTACCGTGTGTTATTTTGCATAACTGCTAGACTCATAGGTTTGCAAATAGGGGCTTAGTTAATTTCAGGGAAACAAAGGGGCCCCTTAGCAATTCAGTGCCGCCGCCGCTGGGCTTCCCATCGTGGGCCGGCCTGCTCTCACTGGGCTGCCCACGTCCGTTACTGTGCCATGCTGGGCCGGTCTGCTGCCGTCGCGCGCTGGGCTGGCCTGTTGCCACCGTGTCCGG